GGGGGAGGAGAGCGCAACCCCCTCCCTGTCTGGAGAGACCTCCTACCCACTAATCTCAGCTGTCTTTGTTATTGTGCCATGACTTTGTCTTGTTATGGTCTGGAGCTGCCTTCCTGTGGGGGAAGGGGACTGAAAAGACCCCTTACAGCTGGAGAGCATTTTTACGTGGACTATACTACAGCTGACAAAGAGAATGAAGTATTCTCAAAAGCAGGCAATGCAAACCTATTCAGCTAGACATCAAAATATATTATCCATAGTCAGTTTTCTTGCTTTAGAACGGTACTCGACCAACCCTGTGCAAATGAAAGCACAAAAGACTTGATTAGGGCTCATGCACACAAGTGTAATAAAATACTATTATATATGCAGGATTTCTCCTAGGGAAAGATCATATTATATCCCTATTTATATCAAAGTGGGCCCCTGTACTTCATAGTTGTTGGTAGACCAACAAGAGAGCATACAGTCAGACTAGAACGTAAGGCTTTCATACAAACAATCTTTTCATGACCATTCTTAGATGACGAAAGTTTAACTCAGTATCTCCTATTTCTTCGTACTGATATTCTATGTCTATGAATAGCCTGAGGGAACTGCAGAAGTTTGATATGGTTTCCAACCACACCCAATCGCATCCCCCTCAGGTAAAAGACCAGATTGGGAAATGTTCTTCTCACATCTATGCAAACCTTCAGTTCTCACTATGTATAGCTTTGCCTAACAGACAAAAATAAGTATAAAGGACCTGTTGGAAGGTGTTCTGGTTCCTGTTGAATAATATTAGTATAGCCTTGCTTAGCACTATGGAATATGTTAGTGCTATTTAAAGCTTATTGGATTGTTAGCTTTTTTGGACATGGTTGTGGTCCCTTTTGGATTACATTATTATAGATTTGCTCAGCCCTATAGTATGTATTATTGCTATTAAATTCTAATTCGATTGTGAACTCTTGTGGGCAGGGTTCTGGTTCTTCTTAGATTATCTGATTAGCCTAGCACAGCCCTTTAGAATATCCTGGTGCTAATAAATTCTAATGATATTGTTAGCTCTTGTGGGCAAGATTCTGGTTCCTGTTGAGTTACATTTTTATGGCCTTGCTTAGCAATATAGAATACTGTATATGTTAACTTCTTCTAATTAGATTGTTAGCTCTTTTGAGCAGGTTTTAGTTCCTAATGGATTGTATTATTATGGCTTGCTAAGTCCTATAGACCATATTGGAACTATTCATTTCTGAATAGATTGTTAACTTTTGTGGGCAGGTTTCTGGTTCCTATTGGGTGACATTATGATAGACTTGTAAATATTACAAGGTAGTAAATATTAGACTCCATTAAAGTCCAACAACAAAGCATACAACCAGCGCTCGGCAACTCTTTGCCTTCTCACTTCCCAGAAACAATCTTCAAATTTTCCACCCTATGAAAGGCAGCCGTCCAAGAAGCTTTTGGGAAATATCCTCGGACATACATGTAGAGACAAAGAACAAATGAGACAGCACCTTCTTTTTGTGTATTATCATTTATTAACCACTTCTAGCGGGTTCACGTAAATACATGTCATCTGCTAGAAGTGGTTATACCAAGAACACGGCTGCTAGTACAGCCGTGTTCTTGGTACCGTTTTGAACAGCAGGAGAGTGCTGTTTCTGTGCAAGTGATCCGGCGTCTATACAGCCGCAGGATCGCTTGTACGGTGCAGCGCTGTGTGCCCCCCTCTGCTGCCGCCCGGTTCCCCGGGCTCTGTCTTCCCTCGTGCGGGCCCAGCATGGTGGATCTTCCCTGGCAGAGTGGAGGGAGATCAGCAGGCTTCCAGCTGCTGATCTCTCCTCTCATCACTGGACCTGGAAATTATGTGTATGACATCACTTCCGGTGTCACAATGTAACAGAGCCAGGAGAATAAGCTGGTGAAGCAGATCTCTGTTTCATCAGCTTCTTTGGGGTCCCTAGGTGACATTAGGGTGATGTCTAGCTGGGGTCAGTGGCATCACAAGGGGAGTGCGTGGGGTGCTGCAGGCACCCGGGTGACCCCATTGGAGGGGTGACACCAAAATGACCGAGAGTCATTTTGGTGTCACCCCCCTCTGAAAAGTCGGGCGCTCGGTCATGGACCGAACACCCGACAGTCTCAGGAGAGAGAGGAGGGGACCCGGCGGCATACCTTATCCCGCCGGGTGACTGCTGTCCCCTCTCTCTGCCGGTGTCCATCATCAAGATGGCCGTCGGCAAGTATCAGAAGATCGCCACGCCTGCGCGGTGACTTCTTGGCGAGTGGGCAGGGTGAAACCCGGTAACCGATTTGGGTGTCACCCAGCCTCGGGACGCCCCTGGCTGGGGTCTAGCAAGGGTGCTGTGAAATAGCTGATGTGTTTCGGCAGTCCCCCCTTTTTCAGAGCTAGCTCTTAGGAAGGGGGACTGCCCCGGAAACACGTCAGCTATTTCACCTTGGATGTCTTTGGCTTGATTTTTACGCTACATGATCACATCTTGTATATGTAAATAGATTTTGTTACACCTAGAATTATTTGTTTAATAAATGATAATACACTTCTTTGTTCTTTGTCTCTACATGTAAATATTAAAACTGTATAGGGGGGTCCATATATGAAGAATAGGGATCTTCTGATGTATAGGGGGGCTTCTTATGTAAAAGAGGGGACTCTAATGTGAAGGGGGAGGCTTCTGATGTGAAAGGGGGGGGGGGGGAACATTTTTGTGAAAGGAAAAACTCCACATTGTCTTTTTTTATTTTTGCCTGGGTTCCACGATTTCTACATTTTAGACTGGGATGCCTGACGTTTTTGCATACTTTTAAAAGATGGCATGACTGAAAAAAGGTTGAGAAACGCTAGTATATAGTATATGAAAAAACAAAAAAGACAAGCCAGCACTTCCCAAACTGCCAGAATAGTGATTGCTTTATGAACCGTTTCACACTCCAATGTAGCCTCAGTGAGGCTGATAATATGCCTATCTTTACTCACAGAAATGCACAAAAACACATGTAAATGCATCAGAGTGCACTGGAACACACTTAAAACCTTAGCAAAACTGAATTTAACAAAAGAAAACACACTGGAATGCATCAAAAACATGTCAAAATGCATTGGGTGAGATGGGCCTTTAATATTCTGTATATGTTCTTCAATACATTGACCACAATACGGTCAAAATACTGAAGCCCACACGGGCATTCAATCAAATAGACTGTATTAGTGGAATTGCAGGTTGAAACCTGTTGTACTTTAAAGTTTCTGCCTGTTATGTTAGTTGTCTTCTGTTTGTCTTCAGCATTTCTACAGGCAAAACACCTTTTACATCTCCTAAAAGCTTTCTCCACTGTGAGGAAAGTCCTAAGAGAGGGTTTCTTATACTCTACATAGCCTTTTATCAACAGATCCGTCACTATAGGGACCCTATGGAATACACATTTTGGTTTATGGGGTGAAATAGATTTCAAAATTGGGTGATGGGATTACCCGGGCGACATTCCATATTTAATGCCTATTTCTTCAAGATCACATCTGAGCATTATTTTATTATTATACAGGATTGAGATAGTGCCAGCAGTTTGTGCAGCGCTTTACCATATAAGGAAGACATAACAGTTACAGTACAATTTACAAACAAGATGGTTAGGAAGGCCTTGCCCACGAGAGCTTACAATCTAAAAGATTCTTGGTCTAATAAACATAAAGCGATATTGTTCAAGGGAGAGGTCTCTTGTTTGCTCTCTTTGTTAGAGCTGCTGCATTCCTGGAGATACAAACTCAGGTAGAAGCCAAGCCATAGTGATGTGGACAGCTGGAGAGAGTGGGGGTTGTGGCTGGAGAAAGGAGAAGCTGGGAGGGAGGTTATGTCCTTCATCACACATGGTGGACTGATACACAGTGCAAACACAATTGCGTCCAAAGATGAAGCTTTCCCTTTGGCTGCGAGAGAAGAAAAGGAGCTTTATTCCTTAGATTCTTAGCAACGGGACTGTAACACACTTTACCTTGTTTTCCAAAGGGTTTTATATTTGTAGAGATGGCACTGTGCCAACGTGGGATGGATGGGAGCTGCTGCTGCATTGTTTTTTTTAAGTGCACAAAGCAATCAGCTAAAACTTTTGAAGTTCACCATCTCATTAATTTATTTATTGCTTGTTCTGTTGGGACTATATTTTGCAGCAGGTTATAGCCCTGCTCAGCACTATAATATGTATTATTGCTGGTAAAATCTATTTTATAAGCTCTTTTTGGCAGGGTATGGTTCCTTTTAGATGATCTGAATATAGCTTTGCTCAGCCCTATAGCATATACAGGTACGATTAGATTGTAAGCTCTTGTGGGAAAGGTTCTGATTCCTATTGGAATACAAAAATATAGCCTTGCTCTATGTGTTAGGTTATATATGGTATAAGATATATTAGTATATAGCAGATCGTCAGCTCTTTTTGGGGCAGGGTTCAGGTTCCTATTGGATTATAGCCCTATAGACTATATAGGTAGGATTAAACTCTAATTAGATTGTTAGCTCTTGGGGGCAGGGCTCTAGTTCCCATTGTTTCCTACCATCGCTGAGTTGTTGTTGTGTTATTCTTGTAACTCCTATAAAACCAGATTCTACCCAAATCTTATCATAACAATAATTAAAGCTTTCCTTCGACTTGCTGCCACTTGTAGTTCCTCGCAGTTTGCCTGCTAAGCACCCAGAGCCCACCCCCTACATTGTTCGCCGTGCCCCTATAGCGAGCACATTACACATAACCCAGAAATGACGCCGAATGTCACCGCCCCCGGCCTGGCTTGTTTACAGGGAATTTTTTTTCCCCTATGCGCTCTCGCTTGTTTGCAGAAGGATTACGTCAGTCAAGGCCTATCCTCCCCGCAACACGCTGCCGTCACCGTGGTGCGATCTTCTGATTGGTCGTTCTCCCTGAGCCCCGCCTCGCTGACGCCATTTCCTCCTGCTTGCCTCCTCTTATAAGAGCACGGACGGAAAAGCTTCACTCCCACTCTGCCTCCGGAAAGTGTTGATTCAAGGAATGTGTTACTGAGGGAAGGTGGTGAGTCCTCCTCCACACCCCCAGGAATGAGATCAAGGGAGCAACAGCTCTGACACACATCTTGTTATTCCGCTTCCTTTCTCTGGCCATGTCAAAAGAGACGACTAACTTACAATAAAAAAACCAAAAAAAAACGAGAAGTAAAAATCAGATAAAAATCGCAAAAGTAAACAAAAAACCGAACAAAAATCGCAACTGGAAGAATACTTCGATCACCCCTATTGTGGTCTTACGGCAGCCTCCATGCATACTCACTACTCCCGGATCAACATGAAGCCAGAAATCATCGCGGCGGTGGGCTTTCTCTCCAAGTTCCTGCGTACAAAGGGGCTCATGAACGATCGGGAGCTGCATACCTTCAATCTGTCCCTGCAAGAGCTGCTGGCAGGTAAGAGAGGCAGTCACAGTGCCCTGAGTGGCCATTTTCTTCCTTGTTCTGTACGCCATATGTGTATGTGTGTTCTCTGTGCCTGGCTGTGTGTATGATCTATACAGAGTCCCAGCACTGGGCACTGTAATGGCCGATCGCTTCCATAGATTACTATTACACAGCACTTTACAGCTCATCAACACTGCCATGTATGCTCTCCCTCTTATAGAGGACGATCAGAGCCACAGATTACAAAAAAACATGTCTTTATGATAAAAAAAAAGAGAAGAGTATGTCATCGCAGCATGTGTTAGGCTGGGTGGGGAGAAGGGTGATCAGAACTTTTCTTTGTTTTGTATGTAGTGCTTTGTTTTGTTTTTATTATGCTTTTATCGCAAAGAGTGTTAGCACAATAGGAGAACAAGGGTTCTAGGATATAACGAAACCCAAGCATAATAATAAGAGAACAAGGACTTTAGGATATAACTAAAAGCTATCGTAACAGTAAAACAACAAGGACTCTATGATATAACTAAACCCAATATAATAATAACAGAACAACAAGGACTTTATGATATAACTAAAACCATTCATAATAGGAAAACAACAAGGACTAAACGCAATCATAAGAGAACAAGAAGGACTTCAAGATATAACTAGGACTTTTGGGAATAGGATATAACTAAAACCAAACAGAAAAATAACAAGGAATCCCAATCATAAGATAACAACAAGGACTTAAGGATCTATCTAAACCCAATCATAATAAAAGAACAACCAGGACTTTATGACATAATCAAAACCATTCATAATAGGAAAACAACAAGGACTAAACGCAATCATAAGAGAACAACAAGGACTTTAAGATATAACCAGGACTACAATATGACTGAAACCAATCGCAATAACAACAGGAGGAGGACTTAAAAATATAACTTAGCCCGATCATAATAACAGGAAAACAATGAGGGCTTTAAGATATAACTAAACCCAGTATAATAGAACAATGAAGACTGTAAAATATAACAAACCCCAATCATCATAATAAGAGAACAAGGACTTTGAGAATCATGAGGAATTTAAGATATAACTACCCCAATGATCATAATAAGAGAACTCTGAGGACTGTAAAATATAACTACTAGTATAATACAAGAACAGTGAGGACTTTGAGATATAACTAACCCCCGATCATCAGAATTATAAGTAAACAAAGAGAACCTTAAACTAATCCCAATCTTAAGAGAATAACAATGACTTTATGACATAACTAACTTTAACATTTAACTAAATCGGAAAAAGCTTCAAAATCACCAAAAAACGTCCCTGATGAAGTGTGAATGAGGACGCCAGTAAGATCATTGAGGCCCTCGTTCACACTTGAGCATTTTTCAGTGACTTTGGAGCTTGTTTTTCTTTTCATATGTCTTCCAGGCTTGAGCACTTTTGTTTTGTCCATGTTGAGCGCTGTCACGCTTCATGAAATGTTCAGCTGTGAATCGGTGGCTTAGCTTTTTCAACATGTTCATATAATTTCAAAAGTTGCTTTCAGTCTTTTTGTTTTAAATCTGTAGCTTGTATTGCCTTAATTCCTGGCGGTCCTGCCACGGAGCTCTTTGTTCTGGGACTTCCTGTTATGCAGTGGCAACGATCTCCCAATTTTGCTTCTGTGGTTTCAAAAGGGGCCCATTGTCACTATCGGGAAGCCAGTCTGGGACAGTGATGTGTTCATCGAATGTAAGTGACTGAAAAAAATGTTGGGGGAGGATTAGCAGGACTGAGATGCAAAGAAGGAGGAAAAAAAAAGTGAAAACACTACTTGAAGAAAAACAAAATGGCTGCTCGTTGATACATGGTGGTTTAGTTAGTGTATAGCTCTACTTTTTAGAATTAATAAAAAAAAAAAAAGGATTGTTCTTGGGATCCATATGCTTTGGCAAGTTTTTAATACTCAACAGTTTTACAGACTAGTCAGGACTAGCTTGGAACTAGCCAGACAGGCAGCTTTGTTGCCGTTTATTATGCAACAAAGACTTGGAAAAACAGAGTATTGACCCCCCTCCCCTTCCCCTCCCCCAGTGGTTGGAAAGTACAGGCTTGTATGTCCTTCCTGCTTAGACTATAGCTGTGTGCCCACCAGTGACGAATTTCCTCCTTAGGTCTAATTACAGACATGTCCAGACAAGACGAGTTATATTCAGGGTGTTGGTTATGCTACATCTGCCGGTATCGGGCTTTGATTACGTTTAGGTTTTGCCTGGTATTTTAGCATGGTAGGGTTATTCACTGAGGTTCAGATTTCCCTTTTTGACATAGATTTCTGTCCATTGCATTTAGTATTTTTACGCACTTGTGCTTCCCACATCTAAATCGCTTTTTTTTGCTTTGCGGTGGGCATTCTAGTGGAGGCTGTTAACAATAACACATTTACAGAAATCACAAGACCGCTGTAAAAAAACCGTGCCCAGGCAACGCACAGATGTTTATCAGTCTAGTCACTATTCTCTTCGGTCTTTGTGCTTTCTTTTAGACGGATCTGTGCTGTAGCTGGGCTCTCATTACACAAAACAGCAGCCCTTTTGTGTAGATGAAACAAGGATATGGCTGCGTGGCCCCCCTCTCACCCCCAGTCATAATCTCCGTAGTGCTATAATTATGCAGAACGAAGCACTCTTATTA